TGTAAGATTTCAAAAACTTAGCTATTTTATTGCAGTTGGTTAAGGCAACGTATTTCCCCTCACTCACATTTATTATCCCTGTGTTGCATGGCACAGTAGTGGCCATGAACATTCTCGGCATCCAGCGAAGGAAAGCTGAATTGGAAATGCCCTCCGTTTGAGGCTATTATTACAGCGTCTAGTCACAGACATAGTTACTCCTCACTGCACACATGGAGGAACATTTACATCTGTACTCATATCCACCCATCATGTGAATCACCTGGGGTTGTGGCCTGTTTGTGCACATCTGGGTCAGATCAGGGCATTAGACGTGTCCAACAGCATCTAGGACTGGAAATCTGTGGGAGTGGAGAAGAATCAAGGTTTCAATAAACACAAGGCCAGAATCTGGTCTGAGAAAAAATTTCCAATCATCAGCCATGCAAAATTATTAACAGAGAATTCCATTCCATACTGACATCAGTGAAAACAAGTTTATCCTGTTGGCAATATACTCAATAATACAGTGTGTGTGTGTGTGTGTGTGTGTGTGTGTGTGTGTGTGTGTGTGTATGTGTTGAGAACTGAACACCCAGGGCCTTGTGCTTGGCATGCTGGACAAGCATTTCACCACAGAGCTTTCTCCCCAGCCCTCATTTTTTTTTGTTTGTTTTTTTGTTTTTGTTTTTAGAGACAGAGTTTCTCTGTATTGTTTTGGAGGCTGTCCTGGAACTCACTCTGTAGACCAGAGCTGGACTCAAACTCACAGAGATCTGCCTGCAAACTCAGAGATCTGCCTGCCTCTGCCTCCTGGGGATTAATGGCATGCGCCACCAACGCCCGGCCCATTTTTTTTTTTTTGAGATAAGTTCTCCTTATATAGCTCAGGCTGACCTTCAATTTTTTTTTAAAGATTTATTGTGACATACAGTGTTCCACCTGCATGTGTGCTTGGAGGCCAGAAGAGGGCACCAGATCTCATTACAGATGGTTGAGAGCCACCATGTGGTTGTTGGGAATTGAACTCAGGACCTCTGGAGGAACAGTTAGTGCTCTTAACCTCTGAGCCATCTCTCCAGCCCCTGATCTTCAACTTTTAACCTTCCCTCTTCAGTCTCTGAGTTTACCACCACATCTAATTCATCCTTTTCCTTTTTAATGGAAATCATACAAAATATAATTTATCAAAATTCCTTTGTTAGGACTAGCAAGGGCTCAGTGAGTAAAGGAACTTTCGGACAAGTCTGGACAGAGAAAATCAATTCCAAGAAATTGTCCTCTAACCTCCACGTGTACACCATGACACGTGTGTGGTTTTTTAAATGTAATAAAAAAAATTAAGTGCTGACTAGACGTTGGTGGCACACGCATTTAATCCCCGGGAGGCAGAGGCAGGTGGATCCCTGTGAGTTCAAGGCCAGCCTGGTTTACAAAGCGAGTTCCAGGATAGCCTCCAAGACAATACAGAGAAACCCTGTCTCAAAAAAAAAAAAAAAAAGGACTGGATAGATAGCTAAATGGTTAAGAAAATATACTGTTCCTGCTGAACCCAAGCTCAGTTCCCAGTACCTATGTCAGGCAGCTCATAGCCAACTGTAACTCTGGCTCCATGAGATCCAGTATCCTATTCCTGCCTCCTCTGACACTACCCTTGTGTACACAAACTGTACCAACCCTGTATACACACACTTTAAAAATAAAAGCTTTTTTAATTGCAAAGAATCCCTGTGTTTAAATGTTTGATGATTTGGCACGAAATACTGTTCTCAGGGAAAACAAAAAGGTGTGTATCCGGGGGCTGCAGAGAGGGCTCAGCTCCTGCAGAGGACCTGGGTTCAGTTCCCAGCACCCCAGCAGGCAGCTCACAACTGTCTATAACTCCACGAATGTCATTCCAGGGCATCTAACACTGGCCTCCTCACACACTACATGCTGCACAGACATACATATAAGTATACAAAAATAATATCACAATAAAATATTTGTTTTTAAAAGAAGTTATGAGCTAAAAGAACATTCAGCTATACTTTTAGATTTATTTATTTTATATTTGTGTTTTGCCTGCACATATGTATGTGGTCTCTAGGCTTTCCTGGTACCTGTGGAGGTTGGAAGAAGTCACTGGATCCCAGTCATCGGGTCCTCTGGAACCGGATGGTAGTGAGCCACTATAAGGGTGCTGGGGATTGGGGCCAGGTCCTCTGCAAGGGCAAGGGCTCTTAACCGCTGAGCCTTCTCTCCAGCCCCAAACCCTTTCTTTTGTGAGACAGGGTCTCACATAGCCAGGCTGGCCTTGACTTCACTGTGCAGCCAAGGATAACCATGAATGTCTGGTCCTCCTGGGTTCTGAGATGGTAAGTGTGCACCTTCATGCTTGGTTTTATGAAGTGCTGGGGACTGAACCCACAAGTGAGCTGCATCTCCAGCCCTAAAAGAGGTTTCTTTTTGAGACAGAGTCTCTTGTAGCCCGGACTGGACTCAAGTTCACTATGTAGCCAAGGATGACCATGAACTTTTGATCCCTCTGCCCCTATTTCTAGGGTGCTAGGATTGCAAGAATTCCTAGTTTTTATGCTGAGCTGAGAATTGAATCCAGGACCTTGTTGTGCTAGGCAAACACTCTACCAACAGAGCTACATTCCTAGTTCTAGAAACCTTTAAAAACTCAAACATGAGGGGAAATTCTGACCCATTATGCTAAAAAGACTGATTTATCTTTCTAATCTCTTTGCTGTTTCTCAAACAATACTTACTGTCGAAAGAGGAATCAGGGCTGGGGTGCACTGGCAAAGCATAAGGGCCTGCATTTGGATCCCCAGCACCCAAGTGAAAGTCAGCTGTGGTGACACATGCTCATAGTCACACCACTGGGAGGTGGCAACAGAAGGATCCCCAGATTCCACTGGGTGTGGTGAAGGCAATTGCTGAGCTCCAGGGTTAGTAAGGAACTGTGGTTTGAATGAAAATGGCCCCACAGGCACAAAGGAACTGGAACTATTGGGAGGTGTGGCCTTGTTAGAGTGGGTGGGGCTTTGTTGGAGGAAGTGTGTCACTAGGGCGGACTTTGAGGTCTCAGAAGCTCGAGCCAGGCCCAGTGTGTCTCAGTCTCTTCTTGCTGTCTATGGATCAAGATGTAGACCTCTCAGCTCTTTCTCCAGCACCATGACTGCCTGCATGCAACCATGTCCCACCATGATGATAACAGACTAAACATCTGAACTGTATGCCCAATTAAATGGTTTCCTTTATAAGAGTTGCCATGGTCATGGTGTCTCTTCACAGCAATAGAAACCCTAACTAAGACAATGACTTAAAAAAAGAATAAAGTAGATGGCTCTTCTCGTGGCCTTAGAACAATATGGTGCTGCAGAAAGACAAGAAGCCTAAGAAATCAACTTTGAGGTTTCATGTAGACCTTACTCATCCATTAGAAGATGGAATTTTTGATTATGGAAATTTTGAACAGTTTCTAAGGGAGAAGGTTAAAGTCAATGGAAAAAACTGGAAATCTTGGGAGTGTTGTTCACACTGAACACTTGAATAAAATCACAGTTGTTTCTGAGAGACAGTTCTCTAAAAGGTATTTGAAATATCTTACCAGGAATTACCTTAAGAAGAAGAATCTCCAAGCTTGACTTTATGTGGGTACATCTGACAAGGAGACTTACAAACTTAGTTATTTCCAGATTAGTCAAGATCAATATGGGTCAGAGTCTGAGGACTAGTTGGCCTTTGTGTACAAAAAAGAAAGAAAGAAAGAAAGAAAGAAAGAAAGAAAGAAAGAAAGAAAGAAAGAAAGAAAACCTCAAAAAACCAAAATTGGACTTTGTCAGAAAAAAAAAAAGGTAGACGGGCTGTAGAGATGACCTAGGGCTCACTGCTTTTCCAGAGGACCCGGATTCTATTTCCAGCACCCATGCTGGGCAGTTCAGCGCTACCCATAACTCCAGCCCCACAGGCTATGGCACCACAAAGTCTAAGCAGCAAGTTCAAGTCGGAAGTGAGGATGGCCCAGCTAATCAGACAGAGTCAAGCAGTGGAGCTGGGTTCTGACCAGCCTGTCTTAAGAAGACTTTCTACTCTATTATGACAATGATTTGCTAAACTTATAAGAGACTGAAGCATGACATCTATAGAAGTGCCAAGAGGTGGTGCCTCACGCCTTTAATGCCAGCCCTGGGAAGGCAGAGGCAGGCGGATCTCTGTGAGTTTGACAAGAGCTAGGACAGCCTCCAAAGCCACAGAGAAACCCTGTCTCAAAAAAAAAAGTGCCAAGATGGTTCTAATAGGTCTCTAAGGACACCCCAATCCCTGCCCATGCATGTGTTTTCTTTTGGCTTTTCGAGGCAGGTTTTCTCTATATAAAAGCCCTGGTTATCCTGGAACTTGCTTCGTCTAACTTTATCTCATCACATCTCTTTCAATTTAACACCTTTCTCCGTTCCATCGATTGTCCCCAAATAGATACGGCGTGGTCACTGATGTGCGAGCATCTCTGCACCAGGGTTAATGTAAGTATAGGAGATTCGAGGCTGAAAAACGTCCATGTTGTAGTTTGGAGTGCCGTGGACAGTTATTATGTCTGCCTGTGCCGCAGGACAGACAGGGCCACCAGGTCTTCTGGCACTACAAGTGACCCATAACTTCCAGCTACCACTTACTAAACCAGGTTTAAGTTCCTGTGTCACAGTCTCATCCTATGATAGGACACACACACTCCCCATCCCACCCCAGACAACTAATGTCTGTCTTTTGGGTCTGTGCTTGAAACAAAAGGAAATAGGACTAACTTGACTTCCAAGACCCCAACAAACTCGTTTTGGTCAGTTGGCTGAGGCTGCAGCCTCAACTTGGGAAGCCCATTAAAAAGGAGGGGAATGAGTGATCCTGGCCTCCAGAAAGCCCGGGGGTCTTTCTCCCCCACCTAAGCGCACTAACCTGACCTCCCTCTAAGCGCACGCGCGCTGGCACTGCACTCGCCCTCACCCGCCGAGCTTCCGGTTCCGCCCGGACCCAGGGACCGAGGCAGATGGCGGCGACTGACAAGTTTGCAGCAGATGAGGCCGTGGAGACTGAGAATCCGGGAGCTCTGAAACCCGGGGCCGCCCCCTTCGGAAATTTCCCTCATTATTCTCGCTTCCACCCTCCCGAGCAAAGGCTCCGCCTTCTACCCCCGGAGCTTCTTCGACAGCTCTTCCCTCCCGAGGGTCCCGAGAGGAGACCGATCCTGGGGCTCGACGTGGGGTGTAACTCCGGGGTGAGTGATGCGGGAGGGATCGGAGCGCTGGGAGTCAAGCAGTTGTCGCCTCCACGTCCCCCGTGGTTCTTCTGGCCTGGGCGTGGCATCAAAGCTTGCCCAAAGTGGGCCTTTAAAGTATAGCGTTGACAGACACGTGCACTTCCCAGCCCTCCCTTCGGGCCCTTCCACCGAGTGAGGGATTTTGAGTAATCCACAAATTCATTCCAAATTCCCGCCGGACCGCGGGGGAGGAGGACCGTCTAATCTGGACTTCCGGCGTTTGCCTCCTCTCCTGCTTTGCTGGCCTCCTGGCTGGGGAACGAGGGCCCCCACATCTGGGAACATTGGTTCCTACAAGAGAAGAGGCAGGGTGACAGAATCATGTCTGAAACTTACAGATATACAGTGCAGGCCAGACCTGGAGCCAAGTACGTATTTACTTAAACTTGTGCTAACAGAGTACGGCAGTGAACAGCAGAGAGGATCAAGAAAGAAAATAGATCATTCTGCCAGAGGAGGGAGGCGGTAACCACCCTGCCCACCGCAAAGTGTTCTGAGGCGTGTAATGGTTATAGTCAAACCACATGCAAAATAAGGAAATGCCAATCTCACCTATTTGTAGCCCCTGGGTTGTTTGGGTTTTGTTTTATTTTGTTTTCTGTTTTTCGAGACAGGGTTTCTCTCTTGCTTTGGAACCTGCCCTGGCACTCACTCTGTAGACCAGGCTGGCCTTTAGAGATCCGCCTGCCTCTGTTTTCCCAGTGCTGGGATTAAAAGGCGTGCGCCACCACTATGATATCTTAATGGAGCAGGCAGTTTTACTCCAGGATTCCAAAGTTAGGACCGATCGATGCCCATCACTCCAGAGAGGGAGCTAGAGAGATGTGGAGATCTTTACTCTGATGATGGCACAAGTCAGGTTGCCCTCGGGTAATGCTAGCACTTGAACAACATGGTTGAGCGTTCCTGCAAGTTCAAAACTAGCTTGGGCTTTATAAGATCCGGTTTCCAAAAACTACAAAAAAGGAGACATTGGTAGGAAGACGTAGGGGCTCAGCTGAGCTTTGGATATAAAGCAGACCAGCTTTGTGTCCCTTGCAAACTTCACTGTCATGTGGGAAAACATAAACATTTCCTGAAAGGAACCCAGAAACCACCAAAGATTTTAAAGGACACAGTTGTAATTGACTAATGCAGTTGTTCCCAAATAGGAATTTTTGTTTTTTTAGCATTTGGGTCTTACTACATAGCCACACTGCCCTCCATATGTGTAGACCATGCTGGCCTCAAACACACAGGATCAGACAGGAGGAAGGAGGGAAATTTAGCTGTGTGGTGTGGGTTCTTGTGCCTTCAAGTGTGATTTACATTAGTATGACTTCACAGTTGATTAGAAATGCAGACCCTCAGCCTGTACCCTGAATCCACTTTGCTGACTCCCTGGATGACGTGTATACCATTAAGGGCAGAAGGGAGAGGTGCTGGAGATACTGCTCAGCTCTTCAGAGTGCGTGCTGCTCCTGCAGAGGACCCATCACTTCCCAGTGCCCTTGTTGGACAGCTCACAGCTACCTGTAACCCCAGTTCCAGGGCATCAGGTGATCTCCGGGCACCTGCACACATATGGCCTATGTAAGCACCAAGACACATGCATACGCATAATGTAACTTTTTTAAAAAGAGAAGTCTGGTGTGGAAAAAGAAAATGTAGCCTAAGTCTTACTATGTTATGGCCATGTGACTTCAGATAAGTAAATAACCTTGATCCGAAAATTTTTAAATAAAGTTTTTTGTCAATTCTATACCCACATAAAAGTACATCAAACATAAGTCTGTACTTTATGATTATAAGGCAGCACCTTTATGACCATTGTCACAGTAAAGAAAAGCATGGTCAGTACCCCAAACTTTCCTCATGTGCCGTTTCCTATTTAGCAAAGCTCTTCTTTACCCACAGGTATCAGCTGGCCTCGCTTTTGACTATGTCTTACTCCTTTTCTATCCCTAAATAACATAGTTTAGCTTTCTCACTTTGAGTTTTATATATATATATATATATATATATATATATATATATATATATATATATATATGTATATATATATATATATATATATAGGAAAACTTGAATGTCTGGTAAGGCAGTACATACCAGCTTTTGAGAGGCTGCAGTAGGAAAGTTAGAGACCAGCCTGGTCTGCATAGCGAGGCTTGGTTTTTTTTTGTTTTGTTTTGTTTTGTTTTGTTTTTTTTTAAAGGAACTTGCCATATATTTTAACTGTGACTTGATTTTCTAGTCTGTCATATTGAATTGAAAATTCAGCCAGTAGTGGAATTAAAAATATTCTATTTTGGCTGGGCGTTAGTGGCGTAAGCCTTTAATCCCAGCACTCAGGAGGCAGAGGCAGGCGGATCTCTGTGAGTTCGAGACCAGCCTGGTCTACCAAGCGAGTTCCAGGAAGGCTCCAAAACAATACAGAGAGAAACCCTGTCTCATAAAAACCAAAAAAAAAAAAAAAAAAAGAAAATATTCTATTTTGGTGCATTAAGCCAAGTTCCTCAACTTTACACTGTTACTAATGTTCCCTTTGGTTTTTCGAGACAAGATTTCTCTTTGTGCATCCCTGGCTGTCCTTGAATCCACGCTGTAGACCAGGCTGGACTCAGAGATCTGCCTGCCTCTGCCTCCTGGGTGCTGGGATTAAAGACGTGCGCCACCACTGGCTGGTATTCCGTCTTAATAACTGGTATTCTTACTTGCCGGTGCTGCTGTTGGTGAACATCTGAGTGGTTTCCACAGAGTGTGTTTTTCACCATGGGAGAATCTGTGTAAAACATGTTTGGATTAGTTGCAGTGGCTTCCTGACTGGTTAGAGAGGAATGAGATGGCTCCTCGTTTGCGAGTTAGAAGCCGCTAAGGTGGTAAGAATCGTGTCGGTGCACACAGCTGGAAAGATTGACAATGACTGGAGGTGGTGAAGGCTCAGACAGTAGGAGTGAGTGCTGTAGAGCTGAAGGCGGAGAGACAGATTTCTACGAGATGATGCTTGCTGACGTCACCACTGCCTGATAAGGGACACCACTCACACTTGTGAATTCCTTTCCCTTGGATATGAGACACCCAGAAAGAGACGATGAGTTTGTCAACATGTTGTTTAAGCTGGGAAACACTGCTGTGTGCTCTTTGCTGCCTTTGCCACATCATTTGGGCTATAATTTCCAACTGCACAACTCAGTCTATTGCCAGTGTGAGGCTACTAGGTGACCAGGCATGGTACATGCATGTAATCCAGCACTCACGAGGCACAGGCAGGAGAATCAGGTGCTGGAGTCTGTCCTCGGCTATCTAGTGAGTTTGAAGCCAGCATAAACCACTTAAGAGTAACTCAAAAAGTAAATAAATAATAATAAAAATTAGATATAAGGTATAGGGCAGGTGCATTAACAGCCTGCAGCCCCTGGAGGGCGCTAAGAGGCTGCTCGTAGAAAAACTGTAGCCTCTTTAGATTATTATGTTACCACTTCAGTCAGAGGTAAGTGACAGTCTCAAAAGATGAGGTTTCTTTCCCAGTGACAAGACTCTTTTGGATTCCTCTAGGACCTGAGTGTAGCTCTGTACAAACATTTCCTTTCCCTGCGTGATGGGGAGCCCTGCTCAGGTGCCTCCAGAGACCTCCGTCTCCTCTGCTGTGATATAGACCCAGTCCTTGTGGAGAGAGCTGAAAAAGAATGTCCCTTTCCCGATGCTTTGACCTTTATCACCCTGGACATCATGGATGAAAGGAACAGGAAGGTTCCCCTGCGTTCTTTCTTGAGCCAGTTTGGGCGTTCTGCGTTTGACATTGTGTTCTGCATGTCAGTAACCATGTGGATTCACCTGAACCATGGGGACCATGGTCTGTGGGAATTCCTGGCCCATCTCTCCTCTGTCTGCCACTACCTCCTTGTGGAGCCACAGCCCTGGAAGTGCTACCGGGCCGCCGCAAGGCGGCTCCGAAAGCTGGGACTCCATAATTTTGATCACTTCAGCTCTCTCACCATCCGCGGCGATATGACCAGCCAGATCGTGCGGATCCTGACGCAGGACCATGCGATGGAATTAGTGCACTGCTTTGGCAACACCAGTTGGGACCGAAGCCTTCTGCTTTTCAGAACAAAGCACACCACAGAGCCCCAGTCCCTGAATGACTGACAGAAGAGACAGAAAAGAGCAGACCAGAATTCTGAAGACAGGAGGAGGACAAGCAGGAAGACCAGCAAAGACATACTGCACCGAGAGTCATGTTCGAATCCTGGAGCGATTGGGCGGGCGGCCTCCAGACCTGGCAGGAGCTTTTGGCAAAGTGTCTGAAGCAAGCAACTGAAAGAATTAGTGTCTGTGTTCCTGTCGTTTGGATAGCTCTTAAGGGGAATGAATTCATAGAGCTGTGAGCTAGGCAGTCTGGACGAGATTGTGGTCCTGGGAAGTGAAACTTGATGGGGAAAAGTCCTGTTGTCCTATTGGTTTATTAAATAAAGCACTGTTGGCCAATAGGGAAGCAAGATAGGTGGGACTAAGAGTCAAGGAGGATTCTGGGAAACGGGTGCAGTGAGTCACATGATGTAGGAAGCAGAGAAGAGGTCCGGACCCCTTTCTCTGGTAAGAGAAGACCACATGGAAATACTCAGATTAGCAGTTATGGGTTAATAATTAAGTCAGAGCTAGCCGATAAGAAACCAAGCAAATGGCCAACAGCTTCATAATTAATATAGTGTTTCGTGTGTTATTTGGGGGCTGAGACAGGGCGGGACGCAGGCAGCTGGCAGGAAGACTACACATTACAGAAACTGCTTTTAGAAGTTGTTTTGTTTTCTGGAGATCAAACTTAGGGTCTTGTGTGTGCTAAGCAAATGGTCCACCACCCAGCTACATCTCCCGCTCTGAAGGGTTATTTATAAAAAATAAGACTGGGTTAATCTTAGATTGTGTCATCTCTCCTTTTTTTTAATCTATTTGTTTGATGTGTATTGGTGCTTTGTCTGCCCGTGTGTCTGTGTGAGGTGTCAGAGCTTGGGGTTACAGACAATTGTGGGCTGTCATGTTGGAAATTGAACCCAGGTCCTCTGGAAGAGCAGTCAGTGCTCTTAACTATTGAGCCATCTCTCCAGCCCCAGACTGTGTCATTTCTTTGAACTCCTTAAATCCAATCTGGTGTCTTCAGGCATTTTCTGGGCTTACTAGGCCTGACTTAAAGCAAAGCCTCACAGAGAAACTGCAGTGAGAGGTCCTGGACTGCCTACTGGAAGTGGCCAGTGAGGAGACATCTTATCTTCCTAGAGCAGGCCGAGCATTTTAAAAAATCCTTAGAGGTACTTAGAAGCTGGGTGTAGTGGCAGATGCTAACACTTGACACACAGGGCCAGGAAGATCAGGAGTTCAAGGCCAGCTTTAGCTGCATAGTGTGAAGCCAGCCTGGGCTGTAGGAGTTACTGTCTTTTTAAAAACAAACAAAATAAAACAAAATGACAACAACAGATGTTTAGGGCTTGGGGTAAAGCTCACTTGTAGAATGTTTACCAGGTACCTGTAGGGTTTGGTCCCTAGCCTTCTCCTCATCCTCCACAAAAATAAATATTTTTAATTGTGAGCCCTGGGGTAGGTGATGATTTATGGTTTGGTTCAGTGATACAGCTCTGCAATCTTCTTTTCCTTCCTCTCCTTTCTCTGTCTCTTATTTTCAAGGCTAGGGATCAAACACGACCTTGCACACACTGGCAAGACTCCATCGAAGCCTGGTTTTGTTTTGTTTTGTTTTTTGACACAAGGCATCTCTATGTAGTCTTGGCTGTCTTGGAGCTTGTGCTGATCAGGCTAGCCTTGAACTCACTGAGATCCTCCTTCCTCTGTCCCCTAAGAGCTGGAATTAAAGGCTTTTGTTGTCATGCCCAGCCTTATATTCTTTTTATTGTAGCAAAATGTACATAACAGCATTTGTCATGCTAGCCATATTTATTTATTTATTTTATGTATATTTTATTTGGTCTACATGTGTATCTGGGCACCATGTGTGTGCAGTGCCCAAAGACACCAGAAGAGGGCGCGAGATTCCCCCCTGGAACTGGAGTTAACAGATAGTATGTGGGTGCACAGACTCCTGAGGTCTCTGTAAGAGCAGCCAGTGCCGTTAACCGCTGAGCCACCCGTCCAGCCCCCGCCCCCCTCCTCCCATGCTGGCCATTTTTAAGTGGACAGTTCTGTGACATTAAGTACATTCAGTGAAGGTTCTGACACAAGTGAAAGAGATAACAATGACGGCTTAGGATTCCATCTAGCCTTCTGTGAATTTTTCCAGAAGAAAGGCCTTCCATTCCTGTTCCTTTTATTTTCTCACACCTCTAATAGCTCCTAACTATCCTGGCAGCTCTACCCCCAGGGCTCCAGGCTAATATTCTCCTGTTCTGTAATCATAATCCCCTGAAGGAGTTATTAGGCATCTCAAATTCGAAAGCTCCCCAAAGCAAACTAATCCGATTCCAAACTAATTCCATTGTGGCTTTCATTTATTGCACATGCTGGAGACTTCAGTTGGCACCACCTGTATACTCCCCATGCTGAAATAGTTTCGAAGTGCCTCAGATTCTGCCAACAGCATGTAAATTCCATTCACTGCTTCCATGTGGCAACACCTGCCTTCCGATGCGCGTCTTGTCTGCAGTCATAGTTTTGCCCGCACATCTGAAAATGCACTCTCCTTTTCCTGAGCCCAGATGAGAAGATATTTTCCAGAATAAAGTATTAAACAAAAACAAGGTGCCATTACTTTGTGATGACACTCTGTCAACAAGCTGCAGGCTACAATTGTGCTTCTTAGAACAAAGACTTGAAGGGAAAATGGCAGAAAATATGACTCTTGCTTGTTTTTCAGGAGAAGGAAGTGTTACAATGAGGAGCTCTGATTGAGAGCTGTGGAACATTTTAAATGTCAGAGACAGTAGGAATGGAAGAACAGGAACTGTGAGTGGTCACAGTTGGAGACTGTATATTCCTCCTCCACCCCCCTTTTTTTTTCTTTTGGTTTTTCAAGGCAAGGTTTCTTGCCTGGCAGTGGTGGTGCACACCTTTAATCCCAGCACTTGGGAGGCAGAGGCAGGAGGATCTCTGAGTTCAAGGCCTGCTTGGTCTGCAGACTGAATTCCAGGACAGGCTCCAAAAGCTACACAGAGAAACCCTGCCTCAAAAAAACTTTAAAAGGGGGGTGGTGGTGGTTCTATGTGTAGCTCTGACCCGGAATTTGCCCTGTAGACCAGGCTGGCTTTGAACTCCCAGAGATCCACCTGCCTCTGGAGTGCTGGGATCACCACCAACACCCGGCTTCTCTGTATACCTTTTGTTTGTTTGGTTGGTTTTTGTTTTTTGAGACAGGGTTTCTCTGTGTAGCTCTGGCTGTCCTGGAACTCACTCTGTAGACCAGGCTGACCTCTAACTCACAGAGATCCTCCTGCCTCTGCCTCCCGAGTGCTGGGTTTAAAGGTGTGAGCCACCATGCCCAGCTGTCAAACAACCTGACAGCAGAGAATGGCCTCAGTGACCAAGGATATGCAGAGGCATCACCTCCATGAACAGTGAGTGCTTTAGCCAAGAAAGCCTGTAAGTGTGAGGCTGACCTACTCGCTAGTGAGTTGCTACAGAATGAGTGGTCGCTTGATCAGTTAGGAGGAACCGCTGTACTTCATTACAACCTGTGTGGCAGCTAGAAGCAAATGTGTAATTAGTGCTCATAAAGATGAGGTCCTGGAACCAAGCAAATAATGACTGCTTAGCCGTCTATGAGGGCTGTGAAGACCATGAAAATACCTTTTCTCTGAGAAGAGATCATCTTCATATCAAAGCAGTGTGAGGAAGGCACCAGCACCAAGTAGGTTGAGCCTTTTTAGGCCTCAGAACAGCCGTAAATAGAGAATGAAGCTGGGGATGAATTAACATTTTTAAAGCACATGAGCTGGGAGCAGGGGCACTCCACCCATAACCTCTGCACTTGGGGGGCTGAGTTTGAGGACAGTGTGAACTATACAGTGGAGCTGCAGGCCAACCTGCACTTTGTGACAAGATCTTGTATCCAAAAATTTTAGGTGTGTAATCAATTATCTAGAAAATGTTTTCACTCACTTAGCAGGAGAGTGGGAACCACCATCCACCCCTTACACTGCCGCTTCCAGTTCTGGCATTTAAATACGTCTGGAGTTCATCTACATTTGGATCAGCCATATTCCAGATGCTCATGAGCAGCATGTGGCTAGTTCACTTAGTTTTGTGGCAAGTTAGGTTTCATGTCCTGATCCTTCCACCATGCTCCGAGCTGCTGTGAGACAGCCCTGGGAGCCGATTAAAGAGTTAGTTCAGTCTGGTTTTGTTGTTTTTTTGAGACAGGGTTTCTCTGTATAGCTTTTGGAGGCTGTCCTGGAACTAGACCACTTTGGTCTTGTTTTTAAAGATTTATTTATTTATCACATGCAGTGTTCTGCCTGCAGGCCAGAAGAGGGCACCAGATTGAATTATAGATGGTTGTGAGGCACCATGTGGTTGCTGGGAATTGAATTCAGGACCTCTGGAAGAGCAGTCAGTGCTCTTAACCTCTGAGCCATCTCTCCAGTGCTGACCAGGCTGGTCTTGAACGTACAGACATCTCCCTGCCTCTGCCTCCCGAGTGCTGGAGGTAGGTGCCACCAAGCCCGGCAGCAGCTGGTGTGACTGGAGCTTCAGGGAAGGAGTCGTCAGCTGCAGTGGGGACAGGAGACTCCAGGAGGGTGATGGGCAAGGAGCTGTCTCTGTGAGCCTGAAGAAAGGGACTTTGTGGCCAGAGAAGAACACAGGATGATCTGGTGACAGGCTGTTGTCAGAATAGAGCAATTGTAAATTTTGAAATACTTTCCACACATAACAAAACACTCAGAAGCCACATGCATTTGACTAAAAGGGGGGAAAAACAGTTTCATGAGAACCAACTAAGAAAATTACTTTTATTATATCTGACAAAGGACTAATCACAGAAATTTGTGAATCTCAGAAAATGACATTCACAGAAAAAAACTGACAGGCCAGACATGGTGGCACACGCCTTTAATTCCAGCACTGGGGAGGCAAAGACAGGCAGATCTGTGAGTTCCAAGCCAGCCTATTTTACATATCAGAGAGAGAGAGAGAGGAGGGAGAGAAAGGACATAATCACCTATTTTAAATACTTGGGGTATTGTTTGTTTTGAGACAAGGACTTATGGCTGGCCTTGAACTCATGGCAATCATCCTGCTTCAGTTTCCCAAATGCTGAGATTACAGTGTGAACTACCAAGCCAGAATGAAAACTTGCTTAATCTTGTTAATTTCATCCCAATAAAAACAATAGAGTTCATTTCTCTGGTTAGAACAATACTGATAGGCGTCCAGGTTTTGTTGTTGACTTAAGAGCACTGGCTGCTCTTCCAGAGGACCTGGGTTCAACTGCCAGCACCCACATGGCAGTTCATAACCGTCTGCCCCCCTCTAGCCCCGGGATC